AATTTTCTGGACATCTGTTATTAATTCTTCCGATCGATCAGTATACATAGAGCAACTGGTATTTAGGACAGTATAAACTCCACCTTGTGAAGCCAGAATCATATCTAAAGCCATTCAGTTTTGTATAGTCATTTTTGAAAGTTCAGTTACCTCTTTCCAGAGAGTGAAAAGTCCATGACCAGTTGAATTTGCTAATTTTTCAATTTCTCCAGAGACATTTAAGACTGCTTTTTCCAATTCACTTACTCCTAAAGCTGGAATTAACCACCTAACAAATGAATGGAATCCTGTTGGTCTTTCAATCAAGGGATTTAGAGTTCTTCGGGTTTGAATTAAAAAGGTTCTATGCCATGTTGCACTTGACACAGCTTTTGGGTGGATTTCTAAATCTGTAGACATTACTCCTAGGGTATAAATACCTCCCCAATCTGGAGGCAAAGCTTTATAAGCTTTGCTCCCACATAACCAAAAAATACCCAAGTCCTCAGCTGCTTGCCAACTTAAATGCAATCCTGAGTTGATAGAAGTTGTGTTTTGGCATTGAGTCCAATTTCCTATAAATGAATGATTTTTCCATAAATGTTGATTATCAACACTTGGGGGATAGCATCTTTGTACACAGTGGACTTGTAAATAGTTTCCTGAATTTGATAGTCTAACTTCCCAAATTTGTTCTTCATAAGATTTGGAAAAAGTAGTATTAAGCCAGGGGTTTTTTTTTTCCAGTTTGCACTTTTAGGAATCGGTATTCCTACTAACTGAAATCCTTGATTCACTGTCTTTGGTAGAGCAACACAAATCTAACATTCACTTAAATTTAGATTATTAGTAAAAGATTTCATCAATGACACATGCATATTGTTGTTCCAGGCATTTTCTACTTGGTGAACATCCCTAAGTTTCCGTACAAATTGTTTTAACACATTCAGAGATAACATGTTATAATATGAATGAGGATAATCCATGTGACAGTGCCAAAAATTCCACTGAAGATTAGGTCCCCATTTGATTATTACAATCCTAAATTTGAAAGTAAAATGATTGCTCGATAGATGGAATCGATGACAGCACCAGTCTCCCTTACCATAAATTCCCCACATTTGATGGTCAAAGCACCATGTTCCAATTCCCCATGTTGGTTCTTGAAGGTGAATATGATATACAGGATAAGTTCTTGGAATGCCATATCCCCACCACTGTTTAGAAAAGCCATGACCATTGGACCAAGTATCTCACGAATCGTCAAGTCTACTTCTAACATTGGCACAGAATTCGAGAGAATTAAGAAGTGGATAAATAGGGTCTCTCTGTCTGGTCTTCGGATAACTAGCCAAAAAAATTACCTGTCCAGGCTTTGCCTGTAGGCCTGTAATTTGGCCCGAAATTTGAAAAGAACAATCACTATATGTAATAACAGTTCTATTGGTACGGGCATCTCGATAGCGCAATGCAAATTTTGTCCACAAGGTGTCACTCCAGGGTAAAATACAAACGAGTACAAAAAGGAATAATACTTTACAATTGTCCATTATTCTTCAGATTCTTTGCGGGCATGCGAATGACCGATCCAAGTTTCTTTCGCAGATACCTTGACGGTATAAAAAGAAGTTAGTGGAACAGTATAAGGTCCTTCCCATTTTGGTTCAAATCTGTTTTTTCTTTTGAAATTCTTTATATAAACTTTGTCCCCTGTCTGTATATCATGAACTTGGATTTCAGGGCTTATTCCCTGATACCAATAGGCATGGTTATGCATTTGGAAAAAAGAATTTTGCAGATACAAAAGGTATTGTGTTACCTGTTCATCTCCATCCAAGAGGTTAGTCTTTGCTGGCACATATGTACCTGGAACAGCAAGTATTCTCCCAAAAAGGATCTCAGCCCGAGAAACTCTAATTAGTTGCCTTGGAATATTCCTAATATCCCACAAAACTAAATTTAGAGCCTCGGGTCATTTCAAACTAGTCTATTTACAAACTTTTACTAACTTCTCCTTTAATGTCTTATTCATTCGTTCTACCTGACCAGATGATTCGGGATGATGTGGAGTATGAAATTTATTAAAAATCCCCAAAGAATTATAAATCTGAATCATGATAGCAGCTGTGAAATGACTCCCTGACCTGAGTCAATTACTTCAGGAACCCCATACCTTGGAATGATTTCTTTCAATAAGGCTTTTATTACTGCCTTAGAATCATTTTTCCTAGTCAGGAAAGCTTCTAACAATCCTGATAGCTGATCAACAATCACTAACATGTAAGAGTACCCCATTGTTTTTGGCATGTCTGCATAATCAATTTGGAGTTTTTGAAAAGGAAAGGTGGCTGGAGGTCTTTTCCCACTGGGAGGTTTAATTCGTACTGAAGCATATTGTCTGCAAAGCTTACATCCTTCACAAATTCTTTTCGCTGCTGTATAAATTCCCGGGGCTGCCCAGAGACTCTGGATTCGGAGCGCTAGGTTCTCCAGTCCCCCATGTGTCCTCTCGTGGTGCCACCGCGTTATCGGTAATAAATACCTTTTTGGAAGGAGGGGTTTGTTATTCAGAATCCACTGCCCTTCTCGCCAGTGGGCTCCCAGCTGAGTCCATTGTTTTTCTTCTTCAGGGAGGTCTTCATACAGCTTATTCACGTCTGGGAGCTCAAATGTTATTTCATGTTGTGACAGAGACATAACAGACACGACCTGCCGTGCTGCTGCACTAGCAGCTTGTTTGGCTAGAGAATTTCCCTTTGCGATCATGTCTTGTCTCTGAGTGTGTGCCTTTATATAGATCACAGATATTTCAGAGGGCAATTGGATCGCTTCTAAGAGGTGGTTGATCTGTTGTCCGTGGGCAACAGTTTTTCCCGCCAAAGTCAGAAAACCCCTTTCCTTCCATAAAATCCCCATAGCATGACAAACACCAAAGGCACATTTAGAGTCTGTATAAATGTTAACTCTTACTCCAGTTGCATATCTAGCAGCTTCAGTTAGAGCAATTATTTCTGCTCCTTGTGCACCTAAAGGTGCAGGCAAAGATCCAGCCAACAGTACCTGTGTTTCTGTGGTGACTGTGAAACCAGTACATCTTCGACCTTCTTCACAGTAAGATGAGCTATCCATGAAGAGGTTCAAATCAGGGTTATCTAAAGGTTGATCTCTCAGGTCATCTCACCGCGGCTTGCTGGTTTCACTTACGAAATAAACACAATTGTGGTTATCTTTTTCTCTGTCAGAGGGTAAAGGCATTAAAGTTGCAGGGTTTAAAGTGTTGCGCTTTTCCAGTTTCAAATTATCAGCCAACAAAAGAATTCTTTCATATCTATGTGCCCGTTGTGGAGACAAAGCTTTCTTCATATATTGCTTTAAAAAAATTTCTACCTCATGGAGTACACAAACAGTTAGTGGATGACCTAAAACAATTGTTCTGGTTTTCTCAACTATTTCAGCTGCAGCTGCTATTGCTCTGATACAAAAAGGAGTTCCTTTAGTCACTGAATCCAATGTAGAAGAAAAATAAGCAATGAGTCTCTCATGTGGTCCTAAACTTTGTACTAACACTCCCTTTGCAACCCCTTTTGCTTCATCACAATATAATTTAAAAGGTTTTGAATAATCAGGAAATCCTAACCCTGGGACAGATAAGAGTGCAACCTTTAAAGTATGAAAGGTTTTCTCCCTCTCAGTGCCCCAAGCGATTGGTTCCATTTCCTCATTTTGAGTTGCTTCATGCAGAGGTTTAGCTATTTCACTGAATCCCGGGATCCAAGGACGGCAAAATCCTACCTGTCCTAAAATCCTCTCAACTGTTTTTTCGTCACTGGTCTAGGTATTTCTTGAATTGCTTGAACTCTTTCAGGATCTACTTCTCACTTTCTGGGCTTTAATATAAATCCCAAATATTTTACTTGCTGTTTGCAAAACTGCAATTTAGATGGAGATGCATGGTGTCCCTTTTTAACAAGTTGGATAAACAGATATTCAGTATCCCAAATACAATCATTCTCAGTTTTACTTGCCAATAATAAATCATCAACATATTGCACCAAGATCGATTTATTTGGAAAAACTAAATCTTGTAAATCATTCTTCAAAATCTGAGAAAAAATTGTTGGTGAGCTGGTAAAACCTTGTGGTAGCCTGGTCAAAGTAAGTTTTTTCCCTTGCCAAGTAAAGGCAAAAATTGGTTGGCTTTCTTCGGCAACTGGAATACTAAAGAAAGCTCCAGTAAGGTCAAGCGCTGTGAAATACTGTGCCCAGACTGGAATCTGGGTTAAAATCAGACTAGGATCCGACACCACAGGGTGTGGAGCAATTACATGCTCATTCACTGCTCATAAATCTTGAATGAATCTATATTCAGGATCTCCATCCTTATCTGTCCTATGTTTACTCACTGGCAAAATTGGAGTATTATAGGGACTATGGCATTCTCTCAAAATCTCCTTTTCTAAAAAATGCACAATTTGTTTCCTAATGCTAGGAATGGCTTCATTTATAACTGGATATTGCCAAATTGAAGGAGGAGTCCCTCCTTTTGTTTTTATCACAACTGGTTCAGCAGATTTTAATAATCCTACTTCATCTCCTGATGTACTCCAAAATTCTCTGGGAACTCCAGCTAATTCAGGTGGTATTTTTGAATCACAACGTTTTTGTTCTTTAACTTGGATTACTTCAGAACCCATTACAATTAATCGGATCCCTGTAGGCGCCAAAGAGAAATGTGCCAAATTCCTGGAAGAGGTCTCATCCCAGAAGGGAAATGGGAGAGTCTGGAGAAACTACCAATCTTCCCCAGACTAATGTTCCATTCAAGACTACTGGTAGAGGAGTGGACAAATATTTTATCTCTTCTCCCCCCACCCCCTGTATTATCATAGCTTCATTTAACATCTTCGGGATTTCAAAATTTAACAAAGACAATGTCGCTCCCGTATCTACTAGGAAAGTAACAAGAATACCATTTACCTTTGCAGAAATCTGACCACGCTCATCTACCTTGATTCCAACAGGTTCCATTGCTCTTTTAGTTTCCAGAGAAAAGGAGTACCATTCTTTACCGTGAATGAGGTCATGGGGGTCGGGCAGGTGGAAGTCCTCCTGAGGTTGCAACAGGTCTCAGTGGACACTCTCTTTGCATACATCCTAAATTTCCACAATAAAAACACTCTAAAGAGTTAGCATGTTGGGAAACAGTGGGAACTCTTTTTTGCCCCCCTCTTCCTCTAAATCTCCCCCGAGAAAATCCCCGACCTCTCATTTGTGGGTTAAAATTCTGAGTAATTGCTGCAGCTAACAGCCCAATTTCTCTCTCTTTCTCTTTCCGCTCTCACTTTCTTTCAATTTTTAATTTCTCTTCTTCCTGTTTTTGTCTTTCTTCAGCTATTCCATCAAAAACAAAGGCAGCAATACTTAGAATTTTAGCTAATGTCTCACCCTGCCAACCTGGCATATGTTTCTTAAATATTTACTTATGTCTGGAGCAGATTGATCTACAAAAACAGATAGCTAAAGGCTCCTGGAAATTGTCACGGGTCATGCCCCCATAGTTCAATAAAGTTGTCTTCAGTTGTCCCCAGTAATCACTCGGATGTTCATCAGGTCTCTGCCTACATTCTAAAACCTTTGTCCAATTAGTTACTCTCTCACCAGCTTGGTGAACTGCTTCTATTAATTGTTGAATGGCAGCTCAGTGAGCCCTAGTTCCTTCTGTAGTTGCGAGATTCCATTCTGGATATTGTTCAGGCCATGGGTTTAACCCCTGACCTTTCTGAGCAATTTCTCTATCCTTTTCAAAAATCTTTTCTCTTTCCTCTGCCTGAAATAATTCTCGCAGCGAAGTCCTCATACCATTCCAACTAGGGTTATAATCAGTGACAATTCCCGATAACAATTGAGCACATTTTTCAGCATCATCATGCAGCCAAGGCATCTTCGACTGCCAAGCTACCAAATCACCTTGCTTCCAAGGTTCTTGCCTCATTACTGCAGTTACTGCAGGAACTTTAGCAGGTGCACCTGGACCTGCTCTTGGGTTTGGGATGTAGTCCAAACGCATTGGGTACACGCCAACACCCTTAGAGAAAAGTTCAGTTCCCTCAGCCTCAGGGGCTGAGGGAAGTAAACTTTTCCTCATTTTCAGCAAGGGAGTTTTCCTCCTTTGTTGTGCCCAATTATACCAAATATACCAATAATCAATATCATGATGTCCGGACTCTTCCAAAATCATTCTCAAAAACTTCTGCTTATGGGGTTTAAATGTTCCCTTAGGAGGCCACTCATCCACTGGCCCTTCTCTTCTATTTCTTGTCAGGAATGGCCATTCCTCTTGGCACAATATTATCAATTACCTTTTTTGCAATGCCTGTGCCAAGGGTATCTTTTTCCAATTTTCTAAAACCTCAGAAAGGGGTGTCCCCCTTTCAACACTGGGTGCTGACCCCATCTTTCTTAATATTTTTTTGCAAGTTTAAACACAAGAGTTTCCCAGGATAATTTTATCTGGAACTACCCATGCCCAAGTCTCTTGGGTGAACTTACCTGATTATTTCTGCCGGCAATTGAGCGTTGGTAATGGGTTTGTCCAGAGAAATATCCAGTTGCTCTCTTTCTCTCTTGTGTCCTAGAGTCCCATCTGGGTCACCAATTCTGTTAAAGGATTTTCAGTCATGGGTATCTTTAGGTTTGCTTTATTAACAACTCAGAGTTGGGCCACCACCGCAGTGAATGGCAACTTCCAAAAATTTCTCAGTCTTACATGCTTTTACCACCCATTATCCCAGTCCAAAGTCTTTGTAATTTTCCAGTCAATCTTGGTTCCCATGTCGTTATCATTCATCAATTTATCTCATCAATTCTCGTGTCCCGGTTCTTCTGAACTTAGTGGTCGTAAGCAGAAGGTCTTGGGTCACCACAATCACTTACCTTCTTACACATCAAAGATCACCTTTGAACTTCTGAAAATCACTCAGGTTATTCTATTGATTTATCTTGTTCTAAAGTTAATCACTTACTCCCATGCCTTAGGTTTAAGATGTATGCTCCTTCTTCTGTTGATTCAGCTTGACTGGGTTTTTAGCCAGCCATGTGGGGGCTACACATAGGACAAATAAGCAGTTTATGCATATTGTTTTATAAGCAACTGCATTCTATTAATCACATCTAAAGCAATCTCTAATCATTAGTTATATGTCTGATACAAATAGTCTTAGAAACAATGAGGCTTAAGGCCTAGTTCTTTTTACATAACCTCTGAATGCTGACTCCAAAGTGGAGTGGTCTGGGAAGGTGAGATTAACAAGACAGTCCTGGTTTTGCCGAAGTCCAGATAGGTTTCCTGACAGAAGGAAAAGTGTAGCAATATGTAAGAATTCTGTGCAGTGCCTGCATGCATATGTCTGACTGTGTACAAGTACCAATCAGGTCAACTTCTTCACAGCACCTGTCTGGCTTCCAAAAAGATTTTGGGAATGTGCAAAATCTGTTACAGATGGCCTTGGGAGAAGGCAGTAGTTTCAGGGAACATGCACATGAATATGGGGATGCCACTGCTCAGGAAAGATGGCAGATGTGACATCTACACCTGAACCGCATGTCTAAAAAATGGAACAGCTTCTGCAGCTGCTGGTTGCCAGTAAAGTATGGGCATGGCAGTGTAGCATTCGCATTGCACATCCTAGCAGTGTTGAGCATTCAAAAGGAGGAGTTCTAGTAAAAGTTTAAACTGATGAAGAGCATTTTATAGCATATTTAGTTGTGCTTAGCTCATGTCCTGGTTTCAGCTGGGATAGAGTTAATTGTCTTCCTAGTAGCTGGTACAGTGCTATGTTTTGAGTTCAGTATGAGAAGAATGTTGATAACACACTGATATTTTCAGTTGTTGCTAAGTAATGTTTAGACTAAAGTCAAGGATTTTTCAGCTTCTCATGCCCAGCCAACGAAAAAGCTGGAGGGGCACAAGAAGTTGGCACAGGACACAGCCAGGACAGCTGACCCAAACTGGCCAACGGAGTATTCCATACCATGGGACATCACATCTAGTATATAAACTGGGGGGGCGGGGGGGATCGCCGCTCAGGAACTAACCGAGCGTCGATCGGCGGGTGTCGAGCAATAGCACTGTGCATCATTTGTATATTCCAATCCTTTTATCATTACTGCTGTCACTTTATTAGTGCTATCATTATTATAACTAGTTTCTTCTTTTTATATTCTATTAAACCATTCTTATCTCAACCCACAAGTCTTACTTCTTTTCCCGATTTTCTCCCCCATCCCACTGGGGCTGGGGTGGGGAGTGAGTGAGTGGCTGCGGGGTGCTTAGTTGCTGGCTGGAGTTAAACCACGACAGCTCAGTTTAGCTTCAAGGCCAAACACAGTTCCCATAGGAGGGATGTATCTGCTAAAAATTCAAGCCCCGCTCTCCTCCAGTGGGATGCTTGTACTCCATTGCAAAGGCTCTAAATGAGCGGCAGAGTGGGGCTCTAAATGAGACCCACTAAGCAAAGCCATCTTATGTTCCTGATGACTCCAAATTCGCTTGTGCTGTTCATCAGTGCTTTGGACACTTCAAGCTGGATTGTGAGACGCTGTCAGTAGGCCTGGGAACATAGAAGGATGCAGTTCATGAGAAATATTTATCTGGAAATACCATTTTCTACCTAGCATCCAGCCACAGGAGTCCCAGAGCCTTTGTGTTTTCTGGTCTGCTGCCACGGCAGAACAGGTGTACTTGGTGCAGATGCCAAAACAAAACAGAAGAAGGTAAGTATGCAAAGTTCTTTTAGGTCTTTTCTTATAAATTAGAAAGCAGCAAGACTGTCTTTCTCTGTTTGATTTTAAAAGCTTTCTTTACAGATCATGCTGAACACAGCCAGTAAGCAGCTCCATATGATGTTGAACGACTACTGAACAAGAGGAGGCAGAAAAGCAGCAGTTAGAAAAGTGCAGTGGGAGGCCCTGACATGTACCAGTGTACAAATTTAACATTTGAGGATGTATGCAATCACAGTTCCATATTTATCTTATGATGGCCAGACTGATCCAAGCAACTGATTTATGCAAGTTTTATACCATTGTGGTGACAGCATCCCTTACCTCCAAATGCAAAGCTGAACCATCAAACCAACAAGGAGCTAGGGTTGCATGTAGTGCAAGAAGGTGCCCAACCTTGGTAACGACAAGTCGAAGCAAAGTGAAGCAGAGATCACTCCCTCAAATGGATGAAGCCTGGTAGGGATAGCACTGAAACAAGCAAAAACATTATTTCAGTGGGCTTTCAGTAGCCCACAAAGCAGTGAAAGATTTCAGGGAGATTAATGGACTAAGTGGCTCCTCATGCAACAGTTTTACCACTGAGGAACCCTGCTGTAGGACGTCACTATTCAGTTTACTATCCAAACTTGTCCTGCTCTGCTCCAGACGCTGAACCCTTTTACAGTGGCAGGGAGAGGAACCACACAAGTCTACACAAGCATCTCTTCCCTATTTCAGAGAATTTTATTGCTTCCAGGCACAAACTTTATCATATTTCATGTTGGGAAAATTCATGAATTTTTCTGCTGTTTCTCACTGTGGCTTATACAATGGCCTAATTAGCTGTGAGATCTGGGCCTCTAATCCCTTGCCTGGCTCTGACCTTGAATGACCTCGGGTAAGTACATTTTAATTTCTCAGCCTGTGTTTACCCATCAGGAAAATACTAATGTTGAATTTTTTTTCCTCATGGCTTTATAGAAATTCTCACCTCTGGATTATTCTGCTGCATGGGAGAGAAAGAATGAGAAACACGATTATGGCAGGCTCTTCCCTTAGAGAAAGAAGGATCCAGCCACACCAGAACTTTATAAACCTCACTAAAATATTTCTTTCTCATTCTGCCTGTGGAATAACAGCATGTGGGTTTGAGAAATAATATTGTTCAAAACAAGGACAGTACAAGTTATTAATTATCAAGTTAATCCTAAGAAGGTAAGAATATTTTCTACTGGTGGCCATGACCTTGGAAATGACCTTCAAATTCTGTTATGCACCTCTTTTCATACTCAGCCAGAGTTGCCACATGCTCATCTCTGAAAGCCTGTGTGTCTTACATTTGCAGAGAAGATTATCAGCAAAATTCCCACTGAAGGATGTAATGCAGCTGCATTTTACATACTATCACACATGCAGGCATATTCTAATGTGATTCCAGAAGTACCAAGGCTTTTACCTATACTGTCTCATTGTATATAGATACTGGCCTTAAGGCAAGAAAACAGTATATAATAACAGAATTATTTTTAATTTTGGACTCGAGCCTACAAAGATGGAGAAGAGGCCACAGAATTGTGCTTGGCTGCCACAGGCACCGGGGGTGTTTCAGAAAAGTCGTGTGCTGAGGGGCTCACCAGCATGTGCTGGACCATGTGCACTCAAGGGATATCTGTGTGAGTAACACCTAATAGAGGCAGGAAAGGTTATTAAACCATTTTGCAACTGAAGCATGGAGAGACAAGATGATTAGCCCAAGGTGTTCCATGACCAAAGACCGAATCTTCCAGATTCCAGTGACATGCCTGGGTTGCAGTCTGTATTTTACCGGGTGCATTGGGAGAAGGTCTTGTGGGAGGCCACTCCACCAGAAACAGGGTAAAACTGAGCACAGGCCAACACAGCGTTGTAGTCCTCAGAGGCAGCTACGTACACAGGGAAACACAGCCTCGCACAGAGAAAAGACATTGCTAGCCAGCTGAGTTACCAGCTTGCAAGTTAGCTTGGTCTTCTAGGGACTGGAAGGCAGCATTAGCCAAGAGCACCTGGTCTGTATGCTGCATCTGGGTGAGCCAATTGCCATTTGCATTTAAAAATGCCGATGCTAAAATAAAGCAGTAGTTCACACGTGACCCACTGCCCCGCTCTGTGCACTGTTACTGTGAAATGCTGGAGATACCACATTCATATTTTGGTAGTGAGTTTTACGACAGCCGCTGATCTATCTTCAGTTTTTTGTCATCTGTGGTGTGCTTCTTGCAAACTCCTTGCACAGTCACAGACCTTTCCCCTGCTTTCAGAAGCAGTGAAGCCGTTGCTCCCCATCAGTCAAAATGACCCCCAGTTTCTCCTACAGCTTATCCAATGCACAGGTATTGCTTGCTTCCAGTGAAAATGCCCACAACCCACTGGACTTTTAGACAGACTGGATCCAGGTCACCCTCTCAGTAGGCACTGTGTTTATAAAACTGCATGGGGCCAAGGTGAAGATGGAAGTTAAGCAGGTGGCCAGAGTACAGGGCACAGAAGTGCACACAAGCATGTAAGGGGGAGAAGCAGAGGCTATATAATACAATTGACATGGGAGGGAGGTGGTGCAAGGAATGAGGTTGGCACTTCCTCCTTTCAACACCCGACTGTTCATTCCTGCCTTTTGCTGCAGCTTGATGCTTAGGCCACTCTGGTGTGTGGGCCCTCACGGCCTTCCAAACAGACTAACGAGGAGGTACTTCACCAACGTGAATGTACGAGAATTGCAGGGCTGGGGCAGACATATGGGGGCTGTGGTGTAAGGTAGTGAAGATGGAAGTGTTGGACTGGCAAAGATTAAAGACGGAGGAATGCCATGAGCAGGGTAGGAGATGAAAACTTAAGAGGAAAATGAAGGCAGGTGGGAGTAGCGTGGACAGAGAAGGTGAGGGAGATGGTGCTGTTCCAGATGAAATCTGAGGGAAGGCCAGGAAGTCATGGTAAGAAAGGCAGCACAGAATCAAGACGCTTGATGTATGTACCCCATACAGCTGAACCAGGGAAGGCATGGCGCCATGCTGCAGGTTTTTCACCGATCTCAAGACTATCCTGCTTTCATGACAGGGCAGGAAGCAACCATGATGGGACGAAAAGTTCTCATGGTGTGGAGAGACCGAGACACTTGTCTGGAGTGTGATGACAGACGGCACGTGGGGCCGCGGTCGCGGCCGCCGCCGCCGCCGCCGCCTCCTCCTCCTCCTCCTCCTCGACTGAGCCGGAGCCCGACTGGAGGACACTTCCGGCAGGAGTGCTCTGCAGGTCTGACAAAGGGGGAAAGGGGAAAAAGTAAGAAGGAGATCAACCTTGTGCCTGCCCTGGAGTCCGCAGCCCGAAAGCCGTCCGTTCCCCACGGCTGGCAGAACGAGTAACGCCATCAGCGACTGAAAAATTGGCTCGGCGCATGCGCCCTGGCCTCCGCCACTCTTTCCCCCTCATAAAAGCTGATTGAACGCGCGTCCGCCGGTCAGGCCGGTCCTGGTGGTTTCCCCGTCGAGACCTGTTACCTGGGCCGCAGCCTCCCCCGCCGCCAGCCCTCCCGGGGTGCCCGGCCGGGGAGGCCCTGGGGGCCCTGCAACCAGCGCGGGACCGCCGCCGCTTCGGCGGGGCATTTCCTCTTCCTCCCGACGTGCGGCCGGGGCGGGAGGAGGA